AGCACCTAGTTGCTCCAGTGGGAAAACTGCTTGGGCTTGTAGGGATTTTGCAAAGACCTGTGAAGCCACTCTTAAAATCTTCCACTGCTCAATTTTAAAACTGCTATATTATGTTAAATAACACTTTTTTTTTTTTCCATCTCAAGACAATGCAGGCTATGGTATTTTGCTTGTTTGAGACCGTGCTCTTGCTACTTTTGAACCTCCTGTTTTGAATGCAGCAAAACAAACTGGGTTAGCTTGCTTTTATAAATACTATTGTGATTTTTTTTTTTTTACTAGGTAGTTAACTACCTGCATCTAGAAACCACTTCAGTTGCACAGTTCTCTGTATGAAAGACACTTCTCTTTTTCTATTTTAATTTGCACATCGGGGGAGTGTTCAAGTCTACTAGACTTGCATTCACAGTAGCTGTGAACTTTTAAAACTGTTTAGTCCATAGGACTAAATTATCTTGGCTAGCTAACATGGCAGATTGTTTTTAGATTAAGCCTCCTAGGTTCTGGATATAAGCCTTAATTTCTTCCTAAAGCATGGAATTTGCTAGCAAGATGTGAATTAAACCCTCTTCTCCAGCAAGTCCTGTACCAGTTAGTGGCATGAGAATTTTGTCTGAACTTTAATATTACTTTAGGTGTGTGTTTGTTTTTTTTTTGTTTGTTTTTTTTTTTTTGGGGGGGGGGGGGGAGGGGGGTGTAATTGGTGCTTTTCTTAAATCCAGAATTTCCTGTCCTTAAAATCATTGCATGGATTTACACTGTGAGAGCTCTCCCTTCTGGCAGAACAGTGATTTACAGAACCTATTTGGAGCTATTTGTTACTGATAATATCTAAAAATTGAGTGCTGGGCACATACCCTGTGCTCTAAATATCACTGGGACACCAAACTAATCTTAGCATGGCTGATATTTCATTTTTAATTCCAAAATCCTGAGAGGCTGCTCTCCCTGAGGTTTGTTTTAGGTACTGACACCTTGATTTAGCCATCGTAGTCCAGCCATCTGTAATATTGCAATCACTGACAGAGGTGTTATATGGGCTAATGTCTCAGTGGGCTGAGAGGTGGTGGGGTGTTTTTTTGCTAAAGGTTTAAAATTGACCCTGTTAAACTCTGGAGTGAAAAGTGAAGTGACTCTGTGCCTTGTCATTTGAAAAATTTCAAGTGACACTTCATGAAAATATCACTTGAAGTGGTATTCATTTCTTTTATACAAGAAAGGTTTCCTGGAGGACTTCATTTTTGGACAAATGAATAGGATTATAGTGATAAGCAGTGTGGAGGACTGTTCAGTCTATCGCTGGATTAGAAGAAGTCTCTTGTGAATTGCTTTCTTGCAAGTGCACTTGGTTTCCTTTGCTTCCTCAGCCTGATGAAAGGTATTCGTATCTGAAAACTTACAAAGAATTTTTTTTCCAACTATTTGAGTTGGTCTAATAAAAGATATTGGGTTTACCCAAAGAAGTTTGTCTGCCTATGTCCTTAGACCAACACGGCTACAACCTATACCACAGTTTCCTTTGGCACTTGATGTACTCTAGTCATCAGCATGTGTATTCTGCATCAACATTTCGAACTGTTTGTAGGTACTGAACTCTAGGAAGAACTTGAACAAAATAAGTAGTGCGTGTCCTCCAAATTATTATTTACAGAGACTTTTATTTAGTGTTTCTTCATCCTCCTTTGAGAAACATTAATGTTATTTTGTCTTCCATTGTACTCCCAATGTGTGCATTCAAGTTGTGCAGGAGAAGTTGAGAGGAAAGAAGGAAAATGCTCAGGAGAAGCTTGTGAGAGAGAGTTGACCAACCCTGGGGACCTCATGGAGTCCTGCATTTTTTTTATTTTTTTTTTTTATTTTTATTTTTTTTTAATTTTTTTTTACTGGTGTTGCCTTTTTTTAATCTTTATATATATATATAAATAAATAAATAAAGGCATGAGGCTCTCTTTGAGTAGATGCTAGGGCCATGGTGGCTGGTGCTGAGCTCCTACCTCTCATGGTTAAGGAAGGGGGAAATATGTGACCTAAAGAACTGACCCCCCAGCAGTCTTTCCTGCCCAAGTGCAGGGGGGGCTGGACCCGACGATCTGTAAGGTCCCTGCCATCTCCTAACATCTGTGACACCAGGGCATCTGCTTGAGTCAGTGCAACTCTGCTCCGAGCGAAGTGAATCCACTTTGCTAAAAGCGGTGTTAGCGCGTGCCACTGCTCTGGGTCTTGGCAGCAGTGTCCCAGCGAAGGATTCTGACAAAAGGTTTCTTACCCCTGGCTGCTAGGGTAAGGGGTTGATGACTCCTGCCCCACTTGGAGGAGGGCAGAGTGTCATGCTGTTGACCCTGCTGCTACTTCAAGTGCAGGACCACAGCCTGGTGAGGCCTGGTGAGTTGTGGATTTCTGGGCATCTAGATTTGGCTCCAGTTTAACAGTAGCCAAGTTGATACATGCTTTAAAGAGCCTTTGCACCTTGATCACTGTGCAAAAAGACTGAGAACAGGAGTTGTAAACCAAGCTTGGTGGTGGGAACGGGATTCCATTAATACTTGTCAGTTCCATTTGATTCCCTTATGCTAGCAGGGCATTTCAATATTGAAGCTGGTCTCATGACTCAAGGGAGCTTTATTTTTAGTGGAGGCATGAAAATTTAAGAAGACATTTGAGTCAGGCTGTCTGGAGATGGCTCGTGCTGTTCAAAGGGCAGTCATTCCCATCAGTCTAGTCAAGTTACTAGAAACGGCAGATCAGATTCCTTAGCAACTCGAACACAATCCTTCCATAATGGTATAAAGAGGTTGTTGTAGAGCAGCTTTTACGGCTGCAGCCCGTCTTTATTGATGAATTAATTAAAAAGAGAATGTGAAACAACTAGCTAGGAAGCTGCTTCAGTGTTGGAGGCTTTCTTCTTCCTTTCACCAGCTTCTAAATATTTAGGACCTGATAGTTGGGTACCGGCCCTGTGATATTCCTTGGTCTACTTGGCTTTGTTGTCCAGTGCTGCTCTACCTAGTTGGTTGCACTGTAAAACAGTTCTGTTTTCTCCTCATCCTTTTTATACATGTACTGGGGGGGAAACTGTTCCTATACATTCATAGTGGTGGTGGAATGAAAAAGACTTTTCCATAAGTTTTAGACCCTACCAGAGACTGAAGTATGAACTCTGCAGCATCTTTCCATGCAACTGCTTCACTAAAGTGATAGAGGGATTAGGAGAATCTATTGCCTCTCAACTATCTCTAGCGTCTCTCTTTTTGGTTAGAAAATAGTCATGTAATCTGATTCTTTTAACTTTATAAGTCAGTTTAAATTTGCTCCTCCTAAACTATGTAGATCTATTTTTGTCTTGCATCTTGGTGTTTTTGTATTAAAGCTGATTTTTTTTTTTTTTTTTTTTTTTGCCTAGTGTAGGTCTCTTCCCTGTTGCTCTGTATTGCTAGTACCAGAAGCTTCACTTCAGGTGATAGGATCTAGTGTGTATTTGTGTCTTTAAAAAAAAAAAAAAAAAAAAAAAAGTGTGCATGTATACACGCAGGTGAAATGTCTGGTTGCTGTAATCACCAGCTCTGTGTAACACAGTGGAAGTGGGCTGACTTGCACAACATGAGAACTGGTCTATGATTTGACTGCCCGCTCCTTCCCATCCATGTCTTAGTGTTACTGAGACACTTGATTGGTAGTTTTAATCTAAACTTCAGCCTTACTCCAAGATTGCATACGACGCTGTATCTAATGCTAATGGGTTGATTTTAAAAACAATGCTGAGACTCCCTATCTTAGTCTTCATAGTGTGGGAGGACAAAAGACAGGTTAGTAACAGATCTAGTTGTAATTCAGACTTCTTCAAAATGGAGGATGGGGGAGGAAAGGGGCAACAGGGAAGAAATAATCTTGGGTGCTGTTTGGAACCTGCAGCTACTCGATCCATCAGTGCACTTTTGCTAATGTGCATTAAAATTATTACCTCCATTTTGAGGTACTGGAAAAAGGCACATTAGCTTATTTTAATGCAACTTGGTGTAAGTGCATGGTTTTTTGTAACTCTTTAATGCACATTAAATTGCATGTGTAGATGTGCCTAGTGACAGCTACTTCAGATAGTTTAATAAAGCCTTAGTGTTAAGATTCAAGTTAAATCGCATATGTTGGTTAAAGTTGAAAGGGATGTTTGGTATTTGGGGAACCAACTTTACGTGGTGTAGCACTGCTCCTTCTCCCTGCACTCCACCTCCAATTTTCAGGTATCTGTAAGGAGAGTGCAGTAAGGCTCAGTTCCAGGCTGCACAGAACTGCTGTGGACCTTTACCTCCCAGCTAGACAGCTTTCCTTCTCACTTTATCACCCAGTGTCTCATCTGCTCACCATGCGAGTGCTTAAACCAGTGAAGTTTAAACTAAAGTAGGCCTTAGTTGTTTGTCGTCCTCCATCTGCACCAACACAGAGCACCTCTTGGCTGTTGGCAAACAGGGTGTCTTGCACTTTATCCTGCCGAATGATGGGGAAAGCATTGAACCTTCTAGGTTTTCTTCCTGGATTTCTACATGACCTCTAGAGAACATCTAGGGGAACATTGCTGCTAACAGTGGTAAAAGTTGCTGTTTTCTGATGTTGGTGAGCGTAAGCTTTGGAGGTCAAAGCGCCCCACTTCTAATATGCTGAGATGTGGTAGATGCCAACGATGTGACATTTGGTTAAAGTCGCACCCATTCTGTGCACCCAGATCTGCTGTTCATTTGGGTTCATTTCTTGTGTGAGACTTGGGAGCACTTCTCTTCCCCCCCCCAAAAAAAAAAAAAAGGCCTCAAAGCCTGGGGAAAGTCAGCAAAGTATCTTAGCTGTTGGTATTAAACCTGTAAAAGGGTTGAATGTCTGTTAGTTTCAAGGTGCACAAACACTGTTTTAGTGATAGATTAGGTTTCTACCTTGTTCACTCTTTAAAAATAGTGCTGGGGTGGCATAGAGGACTTGAGGCTTAAACCAGTGGAGTTTCAAATCGGGTATGTGCAACAGCCTTTGCCTAATGAAGTCTGTTTGTTTTGTGTTGTAGGGCAGCTGAACTTCATTTCCTTCCCCCGCCATGAGGAGGAGTATCTCCAGTTGACAGTGAACTGGCACCCCTGTCTTCTAATCCTTGGTCAGAACTGTAACGCCAAATGCCAACTGCTCAACATGCTGTTGGGTGAGAAGCTGCTCCCCACCACCAAAATCAGCAGCGAGGAGAATTGTAAGAGGCGGCGAATCCGCTTCACGCATGGGACACAAACGCGGATTAGCCTGGCTCTGCCAGGGCAGTACGAACTGGTTCATATGTTGGCAGCCCATCAAGGGCAGTGGGACACGATACCAGAGGAGGATTTGGAAATCCATGGGGACAGTGAGGATCCAGCACATCGAATAGCAGAGCTGGAGGTGACGCTGCCTTACTCGCTGCTAAAGGTACCAATCACAGGCACATGTCCATTATTGGTTCTTGTACCTTTTTGTCATTTAAACTTATCGGAAGGTAAAGGTTATATTTTAATATATTGTGTGATTAAATGATTGAGGGGAATGCCACGAGACAATTCTCTTTAAAATAACTGAAGTATGGTGGAGTTTGGGGTCTCTGTCTCTCTAAGCGTTCCTTGCCAGTATCTGTCCTCTTCATTACTACCATCCATCTAGAAGGCTAAACTTTTAAGTAGATGGCACTTTTAAGCTGTGTCCCCAAGTGGGTGCTAATCCTCAGCCCCCACAGAATCTGTTTTCTCTTTTCCAAAGCAACTCTAAAGAGCTGGCTCATGTCTTGTTGCCCAGTGAGCCTGCATAACTTGGATGCATAGCATAATCACTCCTGCCTATCTTAGAAATGCTTAAATACAGAAAAAAGGTGGACTGCCAATACCTCCAGAGGAAGCTGGGGACTGTCAGTGCTTAAAAGGTGGCAGTGTAGCAGAATCCCAAACAACTTAGATGGATGCAATAACTGGGAGGTGGCGTGCTCAGTAAGAATACAACAGTTGGATAAGGGTTTTGTTCCTAGCTTTGTGCTGCCTCTCTGTGTGACTGTGTCCTCAGCTGCTTTACCAGAGAGAGAGGGAGAGAGAATGCCTTCTACCTTGGTGTTGAGTCTTGACTTGTTTGGCAAATGCTGTGAAAGATGAAGGATATATTTTATAGCAGTTTTACATTAAAGTGTCTTGTCTTTACTGCAAGGTTACGCGTTGGAAATGTGTTTGACAGGAAGATATCTGCATTAGAAGGTGGGTGGATCAGAACCTGGTGACTTTCAACACGGCGAAATGCAAGGTGCTCCACCTCTGGAGAAAAAACCCACATCCTACTTAGAGGCTCGGCAGTGCTACACTCACTAGCACCACGACTGAAAGAGACTTAGGGTGTCATGATTGACCGCAAGATAAACGCGAGCCACCAATACGATGCCGCAACTGGCAAAGCAAATAACTCTGGCTTGCATCTACCAATGCATCTCGAGCAAGAACCAAGAAGTCATTCTCCCACTTTACTCTGCTTTGGTTAGGCAGCAGCTGGAGTACTGCATCCAGTTCTGGCCTTCACACTTTAGAAAGGACATGGAGAAGCTTGAGAGAGTCCAGAGGAAAGCCATGTGCATGATTAGAGGTCAAGAGAATAGGGGCAGAGAGCTGTGGGAGTTGGCTTGGCGGCACCTATAAGTATATCAGAGGGGAGCATCAGGAACTGAGAGAACATCTGTTCCCCAGGGCACCCCAAGGGAGGACTAGGTCTAACGATCACAAACTGCTGGAAGACTATTTTAGACTGGACATAAGGAAAGACTTGTTTACCATCTGGGTTTCCAGAGTCTGGAATAGACTCCCCCAAGAAGTGGTGCAAGCACCTACTCTGGATACCTTTTAAGAAATGGTTGGATGTTTTTCTTGCTGGGGTGATCAGACCCCAGCTGACTTCCTGCCCCTTGGGCACAGGGCTGGACCCAGTTATCTCAGGAGGTCCCTTCCAGCCCTAATGTCTCTGTAATCTATGAAAAGGTAACTTGTTCTTTGTACTTGCAGTAGCTTGCCTTTCTGAGAACAGAACAGATAGTTTTAAACGAGACTAGAAGTTTGCATTTGCAGAGTGAAGTGAGGAGAGTGCTTTGAGCATCTGGATTTTACAAACAAGACTGGAGAATAGGTCTTTCCTTGCTTCCAAATATGGACCTAGTTTATAAACCAGCTTATAGCAAGAGGTCAGATGAGCCCAGTTTAAGTGCTGATTGCTGTATAGCATTTACAGCTTCTGGCCTCTTCTGTTAGACATGGTCTAAGGCTCCTATCACATAAAAGTATCAAGGGGCTGTTCATGCTACAAAATGGCTCTTACTTTGGCTTTAGAGCATAGTCATGCTCTGTCTGGAATAGTTAAGCTTAAAGTGTTAAACTGCAAATTCTAAGTGTTTTTACTTGGTTAAATTTTTTTTTTATAGTGGTCTTCTGAGTACAGTGGTGCTCACAACCCTCTTGCAGATTTCTCAAGCGATTTGACAACAGACTCTTTGTTTGGTTCTAGCTGTATTTAGGACAATCTGGAGGAAAACAGCCAGTCAGACTAACTTGAAAAGGGATAGCAAAGTAAGGCCTCCTTCAGTGGAAGGAGCGAGAAGTGCATTAGAGGTAGCATTAACTGTGACATGTTCTTATAAACGGTGTTTTATAGGACTAATCTGTTCTTTCCTGTGGTGTTTAGAAGACTTCTGTTTGCTAATACCACGTTACAGCAGAGAAACTAACAGGGCTTGGGACAGCTTTCAGTGGCTAAAGCATCTGAATATTGTGTAATGCAGAAGGCTTCCTGAGCTGCTCTTGCTGTTGCTCTAATAGTGACGGCATGTTGTGGAAGCTAGCAGACTACTGCTGTCTTCCAAAACCACACGGAGTTGGGTAACAAAAATGCCTGCTGCTTGTTGGCGCTACTGTAGTGGCATCCATAACCAGAGAAGTAAAATACTATATAAATATCGCCCTAGGTTTTAAGTCAAGTTACCCAAAGACAAGGTTCTTTGGGTAAATCTGATATCTTTTTTTATTAGACCAACTCAGATAGATGGAAAAATTCTTCTTGGCAAGCTTTTTTTAAGAAGTCTGCTAAAGCTTTTGAAAAGGAGCTTCTGCTCTTCTAAATTTGGTAAGTGAATCTAGTAAATGGTTTCTGTTGGAATCAACTGAGATCCTCCAGCTCTGTCTGAGAAATCAAGGCAGGACTGGATTATTTTCAGCAGCTGCCTAGATTCCCTGTAGTCTCATCTGTTTTTAGTTAACAGCATGCTTATGCTAGACTGGCATTTCCTGACCTTTTCTTTTTCCAGGTGTTTGGGAGATGCATGACTGGAAAAAACATGCTATGTTTTGTGGTTATGTAAGACTTACAATTGGTATGATAGTGAATTTATTTATTTTTAGGACTAACACTGGTTTGAGTCGCATATCAACTGATGGAACAAACTGCTGGCTTTAAACTTTGCTTCAAATGATTTACTTCCCATTGCACCTTGTCAAATACAAAACCAGAATTCAGTACTGATTTTTGTGTCCCCTCCCCTTCTTTTGGAAACCATTAGCAGATTCCCAGCTGGTAATGGACCTTATGGTGTTTAAAAATGCTTAACTTGCTCTTCTTTGCACCAGAAGTGTAACTACGTGAGCTGGCTTGGGTGTTTGGATTGCATGCTGCTATTTTGTTCAGGCCTTTTAACTTAAAAACAGGTTTCTGGTCCAAATGCTTGTTTACTAACTCAAAACCTGTTAGAGGTTTCCTTGTCATAGTACTGGCTTCACTTTCCTGTTTTTATTAATGTATTCATGGGACACGAGTAACCTTGTTTGTTTCTCGGCGATGAATCCAACTCCAGTTCTGAATGAGCTTCTTGCTTGTTGATGCTGAAGACTACATGGGCACACTGAGAATCTCTCCAAGGAGTTGGTTCAAACCGGACAAACTCCTTTAGGAAGGAGACAAATTGTGCCAAGTGAGATGTCAAGGGCAAGACTTTCAAGCCCTATGATCCTCTCTAGGGCTGTGAACAAAAGTGACCAGCCCTGAAAAAGGGACTCGGCAGGCTCAGGAGCTTGCACCAAAAACCATGAGTTGCTGGGTGCTGTTTAAAATCTGGCTGCTCTGCTTAGCTATCTAAATGAGAACAGAGCTTCTGTGAATGTCCCTGAGACTTACTGTATATTGCTGTGCTGAAAAAAAATAAGTGGATTTTAAGCAAGTGTGTGAAACTGTTTCCCTACGCAAGTGTGTGAAACTGTTCCCCTACACAGCCTTCCAGAGTTAACTGAGAGCCCTGTGCATAGCTGGAACATGTTAAGCATTCTTAGCATGTGAACCTTTAGCCTGACAATCAATCTTTTGATGTCTTGGGCAGGCTTTGCTACCTCCTTCAGGATTATTAAAAAATGTTGTCTTGCTTACAGGAGCCAAGAATCTAATTTGCATGGGTAGGGTGGTGTGGGAGCACGGCTGGCAGGTATATTAAGTGAGACATTCTTGCAAATAGCATTGCCAGAAAAGCTGAATTTGGCAAGCTGCTCCTTTTTATACACAGTTTGCATGTGGGTTATGGAGAACGATCCATCTAAATGGCAAGATTACAGATCTGTGGTGTAAGTAAATGTTTGGCTCTTCCCAGGATTGATAAGGTTCTTATTGACGGTATCTTGCAGCTCTCAACTAAATCCCACTGTGTTGTGTCCATTGTGGAGGGATGAGGGAGGAAGACTGCAATAGTTGAAGGGAAGGAGTATTAAAGTTTTGAGCTCCTTTCTTTCTTTTTTTTTCCCCACACACTTGATCGCAGATCATTCTTTGTGCTTTCTTACCTTTGTGCATTGCTACAGGTGGTGTCTTAGGCCATGTGCCCAAAGCTGTTTCAGGTGCCTTTCAAGATGGAGTAAAAGTAAAAAGATAGTTGCATCATTTGTTTCCTGCATCATCATTCAGGTTTCCTCCAGTATGGAGTTCAGGAATTTGGCAAATTTTAGTTTTACTGTGAAGGTTTGTGGGTATCTGCTTTTTTTTTTTTTTTGGGGGGGGGGGGGGGAAGGGCAGCAGTAGAATGTAGTTCTGTGTGGGTTTTTTTTAAATTGAATTTCTGTTTGTCACTCAGATCACAAAGTGACTGCATCCTGTAATCTTCAGAGACTTATTAGAGTTGTTGTGTTTTTTTGTTTTGTTTTTTTTTTTTTCCTTGAGCTTTATCTTTCAAGGTACTTGGCTATGACTTGTGTGAAAACTCTAACTAGTATGGATCTTGCCTGAGGGATGCTTCCTTCCAGGGCTTCCTGTGGTGTTACTTCACTTTTTTTAAGCTTGGCTAAAGTGCTCCTGCTAAGCACGAGTGCTCAATACCTGAGTTGTTTTGTGTAGATGCATTTTATATTATGTCCATCAGCCTCGGATGAGTGCTGGAAGCA